CTCCAGGTACCTACCGAACACGAAGCACAAGGCACGGTAGGCCTTCTCGTGGAACAGCGGACGGACCAGAAGGGGTAGCGAAAACGCCTCCGCGACGGGCAGGAACGGCGGGGCTGGTGGGGACACGCGAAGCGTCTAGGATGTTTGTTTCGGCGTCGGCGCGAGCCGCGGGAGCAGGAGGAGGAGAAGAAGAGAAAGAGGAGAGGAGAGGAGAGGAGAGGAGAGGAGAGGAGAGGAGAGGAGAGGAGAGGAGAGGAGAGGGGGGTGGAAAGGAAGAGGGCCAACGAGGAGGGAGGAGAGGGAAGAGGGGAAGAGGGAGGAGGAGGCGTTCCTCCTCCCTCTGCCTCCCTCCTCCTCACTCCTCCAGCTTCTCCCCTTCAGGGAGAGGGAGGACCAGGAGGAGGAGGAGGAGGAGGAGGAGGCGTTCCTCCTTCCTCTGTCTCTCTCCTCCTCCCCTCCACCCTTCTCCCTTCTCAGAGAGGAGGTGGGTGGAGAGGCAGAGGAGGACCAGGGAGAGAGCAGAAGGGAGGAGCGAAGAGAGAGGAGCAGGAGGGGGAGGAGAAGCGGGAGGAGGCGGAGGAGGAGGGGGAGGGGAAGGGGGAAGGAGGGGGAGGGAGGAGGAGGAGGAGGAGGAGGAGAGGAGGAGGAGGAGGAGGAGGAGGAGGAGGAGGAGGAGGAGGAGGAGGAGGGAGGAGATGGAGGAGGAGGGGAGGAGGAGGAGGCGGAGGAGGAGGGGAGGAGAGGAGGAGGAGGAGGAGGGGGGAGGAGGGGGGGAGGGGGAGGAGGGGGAGAAGGAGGAGGAGGAGGAGGAGGAGGAGCAGCAGCAGCAGCAGGAGGAGGAGGAGGAGGAGGAGGAGGAGAAGGAGAGGAGGAGGGAGGAGGAGGAGGAGGAGGAGGAGGAGGAGGAGCACGATAAGATCGACGCTGGCGACCACCGCTGGGGCATCCTGCAAAAAGAATGTCCAACCAAATCTGAAGCCAACTCAAAAGGAAAGCTCCCACCAAACGACCCCACATGGAACCTGCCTGTTTCGGATTTGCCATGAATGGCGCGGCGCTGCCTTTGCTGAAACATTTCACCTGCCAGCGTTGTGTGCCTTTTCGCAATGGTCTGCGTGGCAATGCTGTCGCGTCTCGAAACAGACAACCAAACAAACGTGCCTTCTTCAAGTGCCGGGCGAAATGATCAACGTCAGCATAGAGGAGAGCGCACCACCAAATGATGCCACGCAGTGTACGTATGCACAAAATGGCAAGACGCAAGATGCGCACGATGCCCGCAACAGAAGGCAACGCACTGGGCACGGCCGCACTCACAACAGGGCCGAGGCGAGAGTACCACTGGGCCGCGGTGTCCCGTGGTTCGCCCGACAGTAGGCAGCCCTCTTTTCCCGTGAGCTCCTGGAGGGGCAGTCCTCTGTGGGCTCCTGGAGGAGCAAGCGGATGGCGGCACGCGAGAGTGGGTACGGCATGGAGGCTCACTGGACTCGTACTCCTCCTTGAACTGAGTTGCGTCGAGGAACGCGTACGGCGCGGTCCGTCCCGATGTGCCGTTCCAACAGCGGGGCGAGCGTTCGGACGATTGTTGCGAGACCGGCAGCTGCCTCGGGGGCGAGCCCGGGATGTGCCCCACACAGGGCGTGCTACACTGTGGCTGTAGGTGGAGCTCCCTGTGGGGCACGATGTGTGGGAAGAGTGTGCCAAGATGGGCGAGGGGATGCTGCAGTCGGCCCGTATCGTAAGGATGCGCGGTAAGGATGCAAGGGCCTTGGACGCCCATTTCGAAGCTTCCCGAGCGGGGCGCGGCCAACGAAAGTGGCCAAGGATGGAGCGAGGAGGCAAGGATGCGAGGGTGCCCTTGAGAAGGTTGCCCATACTTACTACGCGGGTTGACTGTATGCGAACGCAGTCCCTTGGGCCGTCAGTGGGGCTCCCTCTGAAATACGATCCGTTTGAGGTGCGTGCCGAAATGGGCACGCCGAGAGCAGAGGCAGGGCGAGGAGGGGGAGGGGGACGAGGAAGGTGGAGCGCGGCGCTGCGGATTCAAAGTGAGGCCCAAACTCCACAGGAGGGCTGGGAAGCACGAGGAAGTGGGAGAAGGGAGCAAGGCAGGTAGGGAGGGACAGAGCGAGAGAGAGAGAGGGGGGGGGAAGAATGGAAGCCAGAGCACGCTAAGATAGGGAGGGTGGGAGACAGTGGATGGGGGATGGAGGAGGGAGGAGATGTGGGAGGAGGGAGGTGAAGGAAGGGGGAAAAAAGACAGGGGAAGAATATGAAAGCAAAGGAGAAGCAGGAGAAGGCGATCGCCTTTCTCTCCTCTGTGCCACCGCGCTTCAAACAGACCGTACCTGCGTTGCACCTCACTGCGGCAAGGATGCAGATCAGGGAGTGGATGTGCGAGGTCGAGCAGGGAGAAGGAGAAAGAGAGAGAGAGAGAGAGAAAAAAAAAGAAAGAAAGAGAGCGAGAGAGAGAGAGAGAGAAAGCTAGAGAGAGAGAGACAGGTCATCAAAGAAGGCCAAAGGCACACCAGCCGGATGTGCAATGCCAACCCAATGTTTGCCCATTCCGCCACCGTGCCCCTGGGCACGGAGTGGGCGTGTCCTCAAATCCTTTGCCCAATCCCCCGAGCCTCAGTTCTCAACCCTGAGGGGTTTCTTGGGGGCCTGCACCCAGATTCTCCGATCTTCTCAGGCTGGGCGCGGTTCCCCTGGGTCCCGTCGCGTCTTCCCGCATGATTTGCTCGGGCCCAAGAGGGCCCCAAGACGGGCCAAGAGTTAGGTCGGGCGTGTCCTCCTACAGGATTTTGGACGAAAAGAAAAATAGTCAAAAAATACCCCACACATGCCAAAAAATACTCCAGAAATCGTCATCTGACTATTTTTGAACTATTTTTGAATACTCCTCCTGTAGAGGGACAGGCCTGTCTTAAGCCAAGAGGGCCCCAAGAGGCCCCCAAGACGATCCAAAAAAGGCCCCGAGTCGCCGAACGATCTCACCAAGACGCCCACGATGGTCGCCGCTAGACGGCCGAGGATACCCCTAAAAGACGCCCCAAGAGGCCTCCCACGAGGCCTCCCAAGAGGCAAGAATCATTGATTTCCCTTCGGTTTGGGAAGAATTGGGCTCTCGCCTTTCTGGCTTCCCGGCCTCCAAGTGACGCCTAGAGCCCCAAAGAGACCCCCAAAAAGCCCCCAGGAAGCCCTAAGCCCCCAAGAAGCTCGCAAGAGGCCCGCCAGAGGCTCCCAACAAGCCCCAAAACTGGCCCCAAGAGGCTCCCGAGAGCGCTCCCAAGAGGCCCCAAGAATCATCCCTGAGGACTCTGACCCAAAACCCCAGCACGGTGGCGGGATGGGCCGAACGCCATTCAGCTTGAAGATCCGCCGCCCCCTGTCTATTCATCGCAGGGGGGCCTGGCGTGCTGAATCCTTTCGGTTTTGGTTTTGTTTCTTTTTCCAACAGAACTCCTCCTGGGCCTCCGGCGCGGCCCGCCGGCCACCCGAAAGGATGCCGAAAATTTGCCCGGACCCAGCTCCAAAGGGTTTTTCCTGGTCCAGACGGCTCCACGACGACCCAAGATGGCCTCCAACATGCATCCCAGACGGCCAAGATGGCCTCCAAGACGGCTAAGATGGCCCCAAGATGCCTCCAAGACGGCCCGAGATGTACCCAAGATGGCGCAAGATAGCCTCAAGATGGCCCAAGACGGTCCAAGAGGCCTCAATACGGCCCAAGAGAGGCCTCCAACAGGTGCTCCAGGAGGGCCCGCAGAGACCAAAATCATAGATTTTCCTATGGTTTTTGAAGGATTTTGGCACTTGCCTCTTCTCGGCATTCCGACGGCTCAAGACGGCCCAAGAGGCCGCCAAGATCGCCGCACCATCGCCCACGAGGCCTCCAAGAGGGCCCCATGACGGCCCAAGAGGCCTCCAAGACGGCCCCAAGAGGGCCCCAAGACGGCCCAAGAGACCTCCAAGACGCCCAAGATGGCCTCCAAGACGGCCCCGAAGCGCCCCAAGAGGACCCCAAGTCGGTTCAGAGTGGCCCCCAAGACGGCTCCCGACGGCGTCAGACGTGCCAGGAACCCACCAAGATGGCCGAAGTTGGCTCGAAGCTGGCCCAAGACGGCCCAAGAGGACTCCAAGAGGGCCTCCAGGAAAGCCAGGAAAGGCCAAAAACATTGGTTTTCCTTAGGTTTTTGATTGATGTTGGCACTTGCTTCTTTTCGGCCTTCCGACGGACCGAGACGGCCCAAGAGCCCCCAAAGATCGCCCAAAGATCGCCCAAGATGCCTCCAAGGTGGCCCCAGAACGGCCCAAGAGGCCCCCAAGACGGCCCCAAGAGGCACCCAAGACGGCCCAGGAGGCCTTTAGGACGCCCAAGATGGCCTCCAAGACGGCCCTAGAGCAGCCCAAGAGGGCCCCAAGTCGGCCCAGAGAGGCCCCCCAAACGGCTTCCGACGGCGTCGGACGGGCCAACAGCCCACCAAGACGGCCGAAGATGAGAGGCCTCCAAGAGGGCCTCCAGGAAGGCCGGAAAATGCCAAGATCATTGATTTCCGATGAGATTTTGAAAGATTGTAGCATTTGCTTCTTGTTCAGCCTTCCAACGGCCCGAGACGGCCCAAGAGCCCCCAAAGATCGCCCAAGAAGTCTCCAGCATGGCCCCAGAACGGCCCAAGAGGCCCCCAAGACGGCCCCAAGAGGCCCCCAAGACGGCCCAAGAGGCCTCCAAGACGCCCGAACGCTTTCCAAACCGATTCGGGAAACACATGGTCCGATAGCTTGGCAGGCCTCTGGCCACAACGTTCGGCCACCTAGGCGTTTCCAAAAATGCAGGGGGCGTCGGTGATTCGCCGTAGGCGTCTTCGATAATGAAACGAGACCCGGCACAATGCCGCACCTCGTTCCATTGCACATCTGCTGCTGCGTCTGGCCCCCGTCGAGGTTGTTGAGGCGGTGCCGGAGTACCAGAGACTTCGACGGCACACGAATCACTCTACTTAACTAATGGGCGCGCCTGCTTGCGTCGGGGCTACGAAGCGCGCGCCAGAGCCGGTGACCAGCGGCTTGCCATCGTGGCATGCCACGCGCTCGGCGTTGGATTTGAGGCCCTCCGCCACCTGCTCCCATATCTTAAACTTCTTTACCGCATCTGGGTCCATCGGACTCCAGGATGTGGGCACCCCCTCTGGCAGCACCCTGTCGCCGACGCTGCAGCCGTCAGGGACCGACAACAGCTCAACTACCTTCGCGTCTGGGTTCTTCGCACAGAGCACCATGCCGGACGACATTACGTTCCTCAGCTTAGAGGGCTTCATGTTGCAAACAGCGAGCAACAATCTGCCCTCGAACTGCTCCAGCGTGTAGTGGTCCCGCAGGCCGCTCACAATCTGCCTCGGCCCTTCGGGGTCGCCGACGTCGATCTCCTCGCAAAACAGCTTGTCTGCCTCCAGGAGAGCCCAGCATCAAATCGACAAATCGGATCGGCGATCGACATGAATCGGATCGACGGAAATCGACAAGCGAGTCGGGAAAATGCGAAACATTGGAAGTCAGAAGGGTAGTAGGCCTCCATTGAGAGATCGGATCCCACATCGGAATCCGAGGTCGAATCGAATCGGAATCGGAAGCCATCGAAATCGAATCGGAGGAATCGAAACGAGCCCTGGCCTCTGGATGGTGCCATGCCTTCACGACCTTGCCCACTCTCACGTCCTCGCGGGCAGAAACATAGCCTCCTCATCACCCTCCTCCTCCTCCTCCTCCTCCTCCCCCTCCTCCTCCTCCTGCTCCCTCTTCCTGCTCCTCCTCCTCCTCCTCCTCCTCCTCCTCCTCCTCCTCCTCCTCCTCCTCCTCCTCCTCCTCCTGCTCCCTCCTCCTCCTCCTCCTCTTCCTGCTCCTCCTCCTCCTCCTCCTCCTCCATATCCACGGCCTCGCAGCCCGGACTCCTCGGCCGCGCCCCCACAGAAGCAGGGCGGCCTTTCTTGCGCGGGTGCCCCGCGCGGAGCGCACCCCTGGGACCGCGCAACCGCCATGGGATCGCGGCGCGGCGTCTAGACCGCGACAGGAGAGCCCAGAATTATGTTGCTCCCATCGTACTTAAGGACCACATCTCAGAAATAATTTCGAGCACCCGGAAAAGTGTCGAAATAGTGTCGAAAGAGTGTCGACACAGTGTCGGACGAGTGTCTCCCAGGGACCGACACGCGCAAACCCTTGAGTTTCGGTATTTCGCTGGTGCTCGAAATTATTTCTGGTGATCAAGGCTAAAGTAGGTGGAAGCATCATAAGCCCTGAATCGAATCGACGAAACGGATCGGAAGTCGACAGGAATCGGATCGACGGACATCGGCGGCCGAGTCGCGAAAAGAAGAACCGGCGGAAATCGGCAAAGTTAGTAGGCCTCCATGGAGAAATCTGAGCCCAAATCGGAATCCGAAGTCGAATCGAATCGGAATCGGAAGCCATCGAAATCGATTCGAATCGAATCGGAGGAAACGAAATGAGCCCTGCCGCGAGGGCATGGATGTGGAGATGTTCGCCGCCCGTGGCGTCCAGCTTTGAAAACAGAGGCTGGGTGGGGTCGTCGACCGCCGACGGTGCACCCTTGGCCTTGGCCTTCGGCTTTGCC